TTTTAATAAAAACACTTCTACTCTAAAAGTTATATTTAAATCTTCCTTTCTATTCACTTTGCTTAACCATACAAAATGTTCATTCAATATAATCATATGTAGATGATCTGTAAGGTGTCTTCCCACCCTCAAATTCCATGAGTATGAGTTTTAGATAGTATATGAAAATGAAATAAATCTCCTATTAGTGTTCAGTTAGAATAAAATACAAAATTTTGCCATCCTTGGTGACACTAGTAATTATGGAGGAAAAAACTGGTGTAGTGTTGAAACTAATACTCTTTTATTGTAAGCAGTGTATTTGGTGGAATTTAAAATTACATAATGTTTTTAAATTAAAACTCTTTTTAAATAGATGGGGTTTTATCACCCAGGCTGGAGTATGTGGTGTGATCATAGCTCACTGCAGCCTCCAACTCCCAGGCTTAAGGGATCTTCTAAAACCTCTGCCTCCTGAGGAGCTGAGACCACAGGTGTATACTATGCCCAGCTAATGTTTTTAATTTTTCATAGAGATGAATATTGCTGTGTTGCCTGGGCTGGTCTCAAACCAGCGTGGCCTTAAGCAGACCTCTTACCTTGGCCTCTCAAAATGCTGGGATTAGAGGTGTGAGCCTCCAAGCTCAGCCCTAAAATTACATATATTTCAAAAGAAATGTATGCCCTAATAGTTATAGGAACAGACAGAAGTCTTCCAATTTGCTATGATTTTTCAGCATAGTTTGCGAAGTGTCAGTAGATAAACTATAGTTTTGGACTATCCTGAGGGTACATTTTGGGTCCTATACACACTGCACTGTTTTTCCTTTGAAAGTAAAAAGTGATTACTGAAGGAAAGCTTGAAGGATATTTGCAGAGAAGAGGTAGACTTCTTTGTGCTCGATTTGGAGATGGGGAAGGGAGACTATTGGTTGAAGGTGGCATCTTGAGCCAGGGCTTCATTCTCACTGCAACTGGCCGAGGGTACTTCTATCAGAAACAGTTTGCATCTCCTCAGATGGTTTCTAAATGTTTTTAGTTAGAGATTCTGGAAGTTAAATCGGCCTTAGAATCTACATTTTATTTCTTCTCAAGTACCTCTCTCTTCTTACCAAATATAAAAACTACATTAACAAGCTCATCGTGGTGGCTCACACCTGTAATTTCAACACTTTGGAAGGCCAAGGCCAGAGGATCACTTGAGCCCAGGAGTTTGAGACCATCCTGGGCAACATAGCAAGACCCAGTCTCTACAAAAAAGAAATTTTTAAAAATTAGTCAGGAGTGGTGGTACACCTCTAGTCCCAGCTACTCAGGAGCCTGAGGCAGGAGGACTGCTTAAGCCTAGGAGTTCGAGAATGCAGTGAGCTATGATCTGTACCCCAACCTGGGCAACACAGCAAGATCCCATCTCAAAAAAAAGAAAATTTGATTAACAATATTCAGTGGCAGGAGTGATTAAATTGTAATCAGAACAGCAGAGCTACATAAACTTAGAAGATGGAAAGGGCATTTTTGTCGTGATGATTGATGTCTAACTGTAACCTAGATATTGCAAAGTAATATGGTTTTCTTTATACAATTTTGTTTGTAGCACTGGACAAGACACTGTTTCCAATCCTACTTATATGAACCAGAAATCTAACCTACAATCAGCTACTGGTACAACTGCTTACACACAGCAAATGGGGATGTCTGTGGATATGTCATCTTATCAGAACACTGCTTCCAATTTGCCTCAACTGGCAGGCTTTCCGGTGACAGTTCCAGCTCATCCAGTTGCACAGCAGCACACAAATTACCATCAGCAGCCTCTCCTTTAGAAACAAAGCAGCCATTTTCTTGAAAGCCTTCCTAAGTGTATTATTCAATCCTTGTGATTCCAACCTGAAAACATTAAAACTTTTTTCCTCTCAACTCAAAAGGACTATGAATGAATAAAGCACAAAAACCTCTCATACTCTACAAGGCCATAAAACGTTTTTGGGGTTTTTTTTTGGTCTTTTTTTTTTTTTTTTTTTTTTCCAGTTCATTTGAAGTCAATCTTTTGATTAGAGGCAGCTTAAAGATGCTTTCAGTTAGTTTTGTCTTACTTTTCGATTTATCTACGTAAATCTAGATACCTGTTAGGTAGCCTTATGACACTAAACAGTATGAGATAGGAGTGTTAAAATATTATTTTAAAGAAACCACTGTTTTCCCCTAAAATGTCATAAGAGCACTGAAGAACTTGAAATGATTTTTTCAGAGTGTCTTACTAACTTTTTCTGTGTGTAAGCATTTAGCTTGCCAGCATATTTTCTTTTGGCTCCTTAAATTGCAGTTGTGTTTGCAGTATTGTCACTTTTGCTCTCACTGATATGTTCAGTAGTAATTAGCGTATAAGCAAGAGCAATTTGGAAGGAACAAAAATGTTTTCTGTGATTAACAGTGAAGACCTTATAAATGCAGATGTGTGATAAAGCATCTAGTCAGTCCCCCAGCCAGTCATGCCAACTGTGCAGGAATTTGTCCCACAAAACATTTCCATTCCCTAAGGAAAAACATTTGCTTTTCTACATGTATCTCTGATATTTAGAATTGCCACTAGTAACCTTTTCAAGTGACTTTGGCTATTCTCTAATGAAGATAACGGTCCATTCGTTTTTCTCCCTGCAATATGGTATGCAGAGATGCTGCATATCCTTTTTATGGGATCATGTGAATTTGAGCCATGAGACATTCCTGATAATTTGTTGTGAGATATACCAAGCATGGATGATAAGTATGTTTTTAGTGATGTGGTTTTTTTTTTTTTTTTTTTTTTTTATAAGTGATTCAAGTACCGTTGCTAAGCTGTCAGCATACCAAGCTGTTGAAAAAATCGACCATTTATTTCTGAAGTAATTCTGAGCCTGTGGAATAATAGCAGGTGATGACTTCATAGATGACAGATTGATAGGGAGGCTATTGAAGCAGTTTTTCTGAAGCCCGTATTTTGAGTTAGTTTATAGTGCTAATAGGTTCTATATAACTGGGATTTTGGTAGTAAGCCAGTAGGGATTATTTTTCTCCTAAAAATTTGCACACTACTTCATCGTCTACCAATTTTTTATATAATGCAAAATAGAAATTGCAAATACATATGCATATGGAAACATATTCAGACTGGGAAAAACAATGGACATTAGTTTTTAAAAAGTTACTTGCATGGAAGCAGGATTTCTATATTTGTTTTTTAAAACAGTCTTAACTACTAAATCCATTTCAAGATAGTGCTCTGAGAATTTTGTTATTTATCTACAGAGATTTGATTATAAATGTGTTCATTTTTCAAAGAAACTTTATCCTAGAACAGAGTAGTCTATATGCTACTTGATCTACATTTAAATGGAAAAATTAGCAGTATTTGAAAGCTCAGTTTATGTCATTGTCTTACTTCAGATACAAAAAACTGAACAGAAAGTTTTAACCTTTAATATCTCATGTCCTGTTTTTCATTCAGTATTTACCTATATGTTAATTCAAGTTATAAACTTCTGAATGGCACCTTTCTGGAAACAAATTTGTTCTTTACAAAATAATAATTTTAAAAAACCATTAAAAAATCCAAAGCTGCTCTTGGTAATAGTCAACATTTGCATATATATGGAGTTTCTTACATTTTTTCTCCCAAACTGTATTTAATAAACTTATTTTAATGTTTGTGTATTTCATGTATAATTGTGATCTCAGATATAAAAGCTTAATTCAGCATGTCTTTGAGCCAGTATAAATACTGCACACTCACTAAATTGAGATCAGCCATTATGAATAATGTAGTTTTAGAATAATAAAACATTATATATATATATATATAGTGTATATTGACACTTATAAGTTTATACATGAAGTTTTTTTCTCTTAATTTTTTTTCATATCTAATAAATTTCGTGTTGCAGGCTGTTGAAAGTTAAAAATGATTTTAAATCTGTGTACTGATGATTCTTCAGGTGTTAAGAAACACAAGGTTATTTTCTTTCCTTTTTATGGGCTTACCGGTTCTATTTATATTAAAACCTGTTTATAATTGTTTTCTGCCAAAGGAATTGTCTAACTTCAGATTTCTACATTGGGTTCATACTTAACTGTTTTATATCAGAAGTAAAAAATAGCATCTGCTTTTTCATATGAAATCTTGGTACATCATAAAGAATTCCCGAACATTTATAATAGAATAAATTTTATTAATGTAGAAAATATCTCAGAGTGTTAAAATATATTAAGTGTGGGATATATTCTTACAGTTTGTAAAATGTACAGTCAACCAATATTGTCTTCTAATTTGGTAATTTATAAAATTACTTAAACAAGTAATTATATTAGGATTTGAAATTATTTGTAGATGTCATGCTATTTTGAATAATTTACACTTTGACTACATAATGCATTTTACTGTATGTTTTGAAGGTGGTTATAGTTTCATTTTTTAAAATTTAGAAAGTTGATTTTAAATGTTTTAGGTATATATAGCTTAGGGATTTTTTTAAAAAAAAGGCTTTCTTAGTAAAAACCATAAATTTAAAAGCTCCTAAGTCCTAGGAGAGGGCTTATTGAATTGTTATAAGAAAGTTGAAGTTACATTAATAAGTAATAAATTATATATGGCATTGATCTATAATGTTTTGTTTATATAAGAAGGTACTTTTTCTTTCATCATCAGTTTTAGCCAGTAAATTAAAGGGGAAGACTCAGTTTTAGGGATTTGATTTTTTTTGTTTGGTTTAGCTTTCTTTCAAAAATTAAAGGTTTATTTCTAAAAGTTTTCCCCAGAGTCCAGGTACAGTGGCTCATGCCTGTAATCCCAGCACTTTGGGAGGCTGAGGTGGGAGGATTGCTTGCGGCTAGGAGTTTGAGACCAGCCTGGCAACATGGCAAGACCCCATCTCTACAAAAATTTTAAAACTTAGCCAGGCATGGTGGTGCACCTGTAGTCCCAACTACTCAGTAGGCTGAGGTGAGAGTATTGCTTGAGGCTGCAATGAGGCGTGATCATGCTATTGCACTCAAGCCTGGGTGGCAGAGTGAGATCCTGTCTCAAAAAGAAACTTCTGGATAGTTCACGAGACTTGCCGAAGCCTTCCTCTTTCATCTGGGCTGCCAACATGCCATCCAGAATGAGGAAGACCCAGAAACTTCGGGGCCACGTGAGCCATGGCCACGGCCCCATTGGCAAGCACCGGAAGCACCCCAGAGACCAAGGTAATGCTGGTGGTATGCATCACCACAGGATCAACTTCGCCAAATACCACCCAGGTTACTTTCGGAAAGTTGGCATGAGGCATTACCACTTAAAGAGGAACCAGAGCTTCTGCCCAACTGTCATCCTTGACAGATTGTGGACCTTGATTAGTGATGGCTGCTAAAAACAAGACTGGGGCTGCTCCCATAATTGATGTGGTGCAATTGGGCTACTACAAAGTTCTGGGCAAGGGAAAGCTCCCAAAGCAGCCTGTCATCGTGAAGTCCAAATTTTTCAGCCGAAGAGCTGAGGAGAAGATTAAGTGTGTCAGGGGGAGCTGTGACCTGGTGGTTTGAAACCACATAGAGGGAGGTTCATTAAATGTTAACTGCTTTAAAACAAAACAAAACAAAACAAAAAACTCCCCCAGGAGAAGAATTCTAATTTTATCAAGCTGAATTAAAATTTGAATCTTTTTGTTTTTAAACCTTACTGTGTCAAAAGAGGCATTATGTTGCTTGTGTGATAGTAGTGTCCCTACAAGTTTAATGTACCTGAAATGTCACAATGTGACCTTACAGTAGCCACCCCAACCCCACCCTTATCTGTGGTGGATACATTTGCAAGATCCTCAGTGGATGCCTGAAACAGCAGATAGTACTGAACCTTATGTCTATATACTGTTTGTTTTCCTATGCATACATACCCCTATGATAAAGTTTATTAATTTGGCACTTAAGAAATTAACAGCAGAACTAAAAAGATGGAAGAGTTGTAACAATACACTCTAATAAAAGTTATTTAAAACAGAATTGTTTATAATTTTTCATTTAATATTTTTGGACTGTGGTTTAAATCTGGGTAACTGAAATAACAAAGTGAAATCGTGGGCCAGGCATGGTGGCTCACGCCTGTAATCCCAGCACTTTGGGAGGCCAAGGCGAGTGGATCACCTGAGCTCAGGAGTTCAAGACGTGCCTGGCCAACATGGCGAAACCCTGTCTCTACTAAAAAATGCAAAATTAGCTGGGTGTGGTGGCACATACCTGTGATCCCAACTACTTGGGACGCTGAGGTGGGAGAATCGCTTGAACCTGGGAGGCAGAGGTTGTAGTGAGCCGAGATAGTACCATTGCACTCCAGTCTGGGCAACAAGAGCAAAACTCCATCTCAGGGGGGAAGTAAAATGGGAAAGGACGGACTACTGTATTTGGAAACAGGGTCTTTGCAGATGTCATTAGTTACAGATCTTGAGGTGAATTCATCCTGGATTTAGAGTGGGCTCTAAATCCAATACATAGTGTCCTTTTAAGAAGAGGAGAAGTTGGGCGCGGTGGCTCAGGCCTGTAATCCCAGCACTTTGGGAGGCCGAGGCGGGTGAATCACAAGGTCAAGAGATCGAGACCATCCTGGTCAACATGGTGTAACCCCGTCTCTACTAAAAATACAAAAAACTAGCAGGGCATGGCGGCGAGTGCCTGTAATCCCAGCTACTCAGGAGGCTGAGGCAGGAGAATTGCCCGAACCCAGGAGGCGGAGGTTGCGGTGAGCCGAGATCGCGCCATTGCACTCCAACCTGGGTAACGAGTGAAACTCCGTCTCAAAAAAAAAAAAAAAAAAATAGAAGAGGAGAAGACACATGAAAAGAGGCCATGGCAGTGAAAGTTGAGTTATGCTGCCAGAGGGAAAGGACTACCTGGGATAGTCCTTTAACTTTAAAAAGTTAAAGATTTATTAGCATTCATTAATTTATTCAATAACATTGTACACTGGGGATGCTAAGAATTTGCATTTCCAAGCCAAACTTCTATTTGTGGTTTCACCATGCACTAACTAGTTGCAAAATATCAGACATTGCTCTTTGATTTTAAAACTACTTCCATATACATTATCTTTGAATTCTCATAGTTCCTGTTAGGTAGAAAAGTAGGTGAAGAGGTTAAATAGCTTTCACAAGGTCACATGCAGTGACAAAGCGGGAATTACAACCTAGGCTCTATTTGGTGCTAAGAATGTGTCCTCACTATACTAATGAGACTGTTACCTAGAAAAAATTTCTTTATTAAGGTTGTCAGAATGTTTCAGCTCCCTTTCTCACAACTCACTGAGCTGGATAGGGCTGCAAAGGGCTCAGTAGTTATAAAATGCCTTTAGATGGGAGAATGCTAATGCAAGGAAGAGCCTTAGAGTGGATGGATCTATTTAATGTGTACATTGTAGTACAGTTAGCCCTGTCACAGATGGCTGATGAGACCAGAGCTTGATGCAAACAGACTGGCTGTTTCTGAGAATCCGTGTGGTTCTGTCACACAGAATGGGTCAAACATCTGGCAAATGGGCGCTCAAGGTTTCAGAGTACTGTTTTCTGAACAGAAAAGAGCTAAATTCAAGGAATTGCTATGAGGAAAAAGCAGGTGACTACTTGAGGCTAATTTAGTTGTGAGGAGAGTCGTTCTGAGTTGAAGGCCATACATACAGCCTGGTTTCTTCAAGAACCAAGAACCAAGATTGCTGAGAAAACAAATCTTGCCTTTGCTAGGGTTCTGTTCTATTGTGGATGATGGCTAAGCTCTAGAATCATATGTTGGGGTCTTCATGAGCTCTCCCTGTCAGCTTTTCTAAACTCTTCTTCCACTCTCACATACACTCTAGACTTTAGCCACCAAACCCAAAATTCCTCAGGTGACAATCTGACTTTTTTTGTACCTGTTTGGCCCTGTTATTTTTTTCTGTCCAGAATACTTTTGTCCACCTAACAAATTATCCTTTCAAGTGTCAGCCCAAATTTCACTGGTCCCCAAACCATGCTGTGATTCTGAAGTAGCTTGTAACCATGTTACAGCAGATGCCCTGTTGCATTGGAATGTAATTTGGCTCACTCAACATGCATTTCTAAACCATCTCCTTACTTAGATTCCTCTTAAGGAAGTCAGTAGGTAAGATAATAATATTTGCCTTCCCAGACTCTTGCAGCCAAGGGTGGCCACATAACATGGTTATGGCCAATGAGATTTAGCTGAGAGTTCCTGGGGAGAAAATCTTAGGATGAAAGAAAACACTTTTTTTTTTTTTTTGAGACAGAGTCTTGCACTGTCACCTGGGCTGGAGTGCAATGGCGCTATCTCAGCTCACTGCAACCTTGACTCCCTGGTTCACGTGATTCTCCTGCCTCAGCCTCCCGAGTAGCTGGGATTACAGGTGCACAGCATCACATCTGGCTAATTTTTTGTATGTTTAGTAGAGACAGGGTTTCACTATGTTGGCCAGACTGGTCTCAAACTCCTGACCTTATGATTCGCCCACCTCGGCCTCCCAAAGTGAAAACACTTTTAAAGAAAAGCTCTTTCTACTTCTGCGTTAGAAAGCACGTGTAATGCCAGGAGAAAGCAAGTTATGATGGCTCAGAAACACTGAAGGTGCTTGGCTCCTTGATGACATCTTCAAGTGGCTGTTGAGTTCTAGACTGTTCTTCTGAATTTCTTCATATGTGACAAGAAAAAAAAAAAAAAGCCTCTATCTCTTACCCTTAGTGGTCTAAACTATGGTTGGTACGTTTTGCTATTCGTACCTGAAAGCATTTCTACCCCCACTACGTCTATAAAAGCCTTCAGACTTTTACTCATTGTTGTTCCTGGGCCTAGCATGGGCACATAAAATATTTGTGGAATAAAGAATGAAAATTGATTTAGCACCTGACAATGCCTGGTATTTAGTAAATTTTAGTTTTCTTTGACCTTATCCTTGTGCTTTTCATCATTCTGTTTTAACATTTCTGAAATTGAGATTTGACTGGGCATGGTAGTTCACACCTAAAATCCCAGCCTTTGGAAGGCCAAGGCTGGCAGATCACCTGAGGTCAGGAGTTCGAGACCAGCCTGGCCGACATGGCAAAACCCCATCTCTACTAAAAATACAAAAATTAGCTGGGTGTGGTGGCAGGCACCTATAATCCTAGTTACTCAGGAAGTTGAGGCAGGAAAATCGCTTGAACCCAGGAGATGGAGGTTGCAGAAAGCTGAGATCATGCCACTGCACTCCAACCTGGCCAACAAGAGTGAAACTCCCTCTCAAAAAAAAAAAAAAAAAAAAAAAAAAGGGCCAGGCGCGGTGGCTCAAGCCTGTAATCCCAGCACTTTGGGAGGCCGAGGCGGGTGGATCACGAGGTCGAGAGATCGAGACCATCCTGGTCAACATGGTGAAACCCTGTCTCTACTAAAAATACAAAAAACCAGCTGGGCGTGGTGGCGCGTGCCTGTAATCCCAGCTACTCAGGAGGCTGAGGCAGGAGAATTGCCTGAGCCCAGGAGGTGGAGGTTGCGGTGAGCCGAGATCACGCCATTGCACTCCAGCCTGGGTAACAAGAGCGAAACTCCGTCTCAAAAAAAAAAAAAAAAAAAAAAAAAAGAAAGAAATCAAGATTTATTTTACAGTGGGTAAGATTTCATTTTATTCTCTTAAAGCTATTTAATTATTGACACATCTGAAAATCCACGATGTTTTAGAATCAAAGGAATATGGCATTACTTTATCAAACATCAAAGGGACACCCGGGCGCAGTGGCTCACCCCTATAATCCCAGCACTTTGGGAGCTGAGGCGGGTGGATCACTTGAGGTCAGGTCAGGAGTTCAAGACCAGCCTGGCCAACATGGCAAAACCCCATATCTATGAAAAACACAAAAATTAGCCAGGCAAGGTGGTGCACACCTATAATCTGAGCTACTTGGGAGGCTGAGACATGAGAACCCAGGAGGCAGTGAGCTGAGATCACACCATTGTCTTCCAACCTGTGTGACAGAGTGAGACTCTGTCTCAATAAAGAAAAAAGAAACAAAGGGGAGTTAGGGTCTGGTCTAAGGGTCAGGAAACCCAATGGCTTTGCTTTATTTTGTTTTTTAAATATCTTAGGCTTTGTGGTGCACAACTATAATCCCAGCACTTTAGAGGCCAAGGAACTTTCCTTGAGCCCAGGAGTTTGAGACCAGGCTGGGCAACATAGGGATATTAAAAAAAAAAAAAAAATTAGCCAGGTCTGGTGGCATAGCTATAGTCCCAGCTACTTGAGAGTATGAAGTAGGAGGATCACTTGAGCCTGGGAGTTGAGACTGCAGTGAACCATGATCATACCACTGCACAATCAAGACTCTGGGCAAGACTGTGTCTCAAAAACATAAATAAACATGGTAGTGTGCCTAGTGCTCATCAAATAATGCTCCTTTCTCCATTCTGAGTCTAGGGATTGCAGCAGAGGCAAAAGTACAGTGAACATTTCTTTCTGACATGTGACAGAAAACTATTATAGCAAAATAGGACAAGAATTTTAATATTTGGAACCTTCATATTTCAGCACCTTAATTTGAACCTATAAGGGAATACTTCCTTCAAATATTACAGAAAACTTTGCATAATTTATGATAACCACCCAAAATGACAGAATGAAGATGAAGGATAGAGGTGATTATATATGTATATTTTGTTTTTTGTTTTTGTTGTTTTTGAGATGGAGTCTCACTCACTCTGTAGTTCAGGCTGGAGTGCAGTGGCACTGTCTCAGCTCAGTGCAGCTTCCATCCCTGAGGTTTGAGCGATTCTCCTGCCTCAGCCTCCCGAGTAGCTGGGACTACAGGCTCGTGCCACCATACCTGGCTAATTTTTGTGTTTTCAGTAGGGATGGGGTTTTACCATGTTAGCCAGGATGCTCTGGATCTCCTGACCTTGTGATCTGCCCACTTCTGCCTCCCAAAGTGCTGGGATTGCAGGTGTGAGCCACCACACCCAGCAGAGGCGATTCTATTTTACTGTTGTCTGTTTTA